TCTCCGCCCCACAACCCATTCTTTTGTCTTCCTTCGGATGCAGCTGGGACACAAAACGCGTTCAGGATCGTGGTGATATGCGATGCCTGCTAGGCTAGAAAATGCATATCTTCCAGCGATGTGATCAGCGTTTTTATTCCTTTGTAAGGCAATGTTTTGCCGCCTTTAGGGGGGGGGGAGAGGACTTCACTGCTTCAATCGGTATTCGATTACGGTCATTAATTTGTATAGCACATTTCGTAGATAAAGGTTCTTCTCTGAGTACTGTAGAGCACCACCCACTCCCCTGACTCCTCCAAAGCAGCTCCCGGGAATCGGATCTTCTCGAAATCGAATCAAATAATGTTTTGGTCTAGCCCTGAGAACAATTTAAATTTGAAAGATCTATATTAATTTTAGGTCACCCGTGAACGTGACGTATGCTGGACGGCTGGTCACGGACCGAGTGCCACGGCCTGTGGCTCGGCCTCCGATCCAACAAGATCTCTACTTAGCCAGTCAACCAATTCGGGCAACTCCTCCAATCCCCAGAATAACACCCACACCTAACCATGTACCGTATCCTGTGGCAACAGTAACAGGAACAACAGCCACAGTGACAGACATGGTACCGAGCTCGCAGTCGACAGAGTAAGTTTGACTATTTCATCACTCCTATGTGAGTGTGCTGTCGAAATATTTGTTCTCGAAATCCCAAATTTTAAGCGGAAGACGCATTCCAGCGTATTTCGCTCTTATCTAATTTTCTCATCAGAACCTGAGGAAACCAAAGCCAAATCTTCTGCCGCTATTGTTAACACCCATTGAGCTTCAAATGAGCGATTTTTCGGGAACACGGTAGCCTTTATCCTCTGCGGCCGCCCTCTTCAATGATTTATCTTTTGAGGAACCGTCTGTGCCTTATTTTGAGGATTCTTTGCTCTTAACTTTTCTCTTCACTGCATTCCATTGTGTTCTATCGAGCGGAATAAATTTTTCTCTAGCGCCATCCTAAATCGTACTGGTGGTTTGGTGGGGTAATCCCATTCGATTACCAAAGTAGAGGTGCAAAATGGATTGAAAGAGGAGAAAAAAGGAAGAGTGTCGAAGAAAACATAGAAAATATAAGGCAACCAGCCTCTACACTTGTAGACCTACCACCTCCACCCACGCGAGATACCTTCTTTGTGAGGTTGAGCTCGACCTTTGCCTTGAAAGTGATCGTCCGTGCAAAATAAATGCGCAGCTGCACGAGCTATAGCAGTTATGAAGAAACTAAAGGAAACGGCCTGAACTTGCAAGATGGATTATTTGTTTCCCACCTTGATCTTCGCATATAACGAGTCTCACCAGTGCTGTCAGCGGTAAAGAAGAATCCATGATAAGTTTGAAGGTCGAAAAAGGGGAACCAAACTGGTGGGAAGACAAGCGGACCCCGTAAGGGTGCGAACTGACACGAAAATCGAAAAAGCGGAGATATGGTCTCAGTGGTTGAGCATGGCCGTCTCCGCTCCGCTATCGAATTGGCACGCCCACCGACTGGCTAGTCACTCGCCGCACGTCTTCAGCGGTTTACCAAAGTGAGCGCTGACGTTGAAGAAGGCAGGACCAATAACAGATGCATCAGTGCGGAAATCACTGGAACAAGTGTGCCATTTCTTGGGCTCAGGGCCTTATCTCAAGAACTTTCGTTCATCTCGCCTTCATTGACCACCTTTGCCTAAATTGTAATGTACTGCCCTCTAATCGTGAACTACGCCTTTACCCACTTTGTTCTGCTTCTCCGTTGAAACGGCTGCCACGAAAAGGTCTCCCCATCGCCGGTGTGGTCTGTTAGTTGACTACGGGAACACCCTTTGCCGTGAAGGCGCCACTTTCCGCTCCACAGGAAACCATCTCTCCTTTTTGTGAGTATATGCTTCTTTCTTTACCTCCAATTGATCGTACCACCTCCTTTGAGACACGCATAAGCTTGGTTTTTGGGTGGTCGCCAGTCGTCGTTTCCTGCCACGGTAGAGGAGAAACGTTCTATAGACTCAAAGCCATTCACAATGCTTCGTAAGTATCCGGTGGGCAAGAAGTTTCGTGCACTTGCGCTTTATTATACCCATTAGCTGGTCAACCGTTATGATGGGCAAATTTCTGGGTACCCGCCCCTAGGAGAGTCTTTACGGTAATCCCACTCCCTTCAATACTGTTTATGATCGGTTGGTACTATATAATCTCTGTAGTTCACTTCCATTCCAAAATAATCGGCAGAGCAATAAGCCACCTTTGAAGGAAGGTCGTAAGAAAAAGTGCTCTGGAAAATGGACGAGTTTGACATCCAGCACTGAAAAATTGTATTCAAATAGCTTGAGCAACGCTTTTGAATTGCATGTATTTGTTCGCTAATGCTGTTTCAACGTCGAATTTGCGAACGGTTCACTAGGGGTATGAAGAAAACCTGAACCCCCTTTCTCGCGGAGTCTAGTGTGCTACAAGGTTACGGTATATTCAAATAGATGATTTTTTTGTTCGGTTAAGCTATCCTTAATATTGCTGTATTTTAGCAAGCAAACAATTCGAGCACGAGCCCTCTCGCGCAATCAATTCCTGGGTTATCAGCGCCTCACGTTCATCATGGCCAAATATCCAGCCTTAGTGATGGCTATAGTGGCATTATGGAATATCACGGGACGCGGTAAAGGCATGGAGAAAAGCAGCACTGAAGAGGTGATCAATTATTGATCGGTGCCCAATTTCTGGGACACTCTGTGAAGACCACAGTTACTTCAGATCGCTTTCTACTCTGCATTGGCCACAGCCGGCATTGTTTTAGTCTCACAAATTCTGCTTACATGGCAACCATCACGAATCCTATAAAAAGGCACGGACCATGGTGAGATTGTTTTCCGGACCATTTTCTTTCGAAAAACTTATCGAGTTTCTTTCCAGTGCCTCCTGTACCACTTCGTTATGCTCGTGGCATTTTGCACGGCTGCAGTATGTGTGGTGTTCTCCGCGATCAATCTTCACAAATTCAAGGCAAAAAAGTAATATCTCGCATATAAGTATAAATTAATCGATCTATAAGTTACGTTGAGGTTTTCTGAGGGAAGTATGGTCTGCATGGTTAGATGTGTTTAGGTCCAAGGTCCAACTGTGGGTTACCATTGAGATTACCTTTTGCCTCATACTCCTGGGATCTAGTAATGATTATACAAAATAGCCATTAGCAGTCCGAATCCGGTTGCGTCCAGTTGACCTCCTACCTCGGGAAAACCATTTCGAGCTGCGGAACGCTTAACCTCTCCCCCCCCCTCTCTCGTGTAATTTTGGGTTGATTTTTGTTTCCATCTCAAAGATGCTCAGGCTAAAACTCCAACGTAGAGATCTAGATTCGGGTTAATTCACCCTGATCGTATACCCACTAGCCTTCGCTGGAGCTGTGATTTGGGTTCGATCAATACTTACCCGAAACTCATGGTCACCACCGACTCTTCACTATGTTTTTCCACACAAACCAGCTTTTTCAAAGGCAGTGATTGTAATTTCTGGGAAGCGGAGTCAATTTGGGTACCAGCTCTCGATGCTCTCCCACCGGTAACGCCCCTAAGTGTCATCGCTTCATACCTTGTGAAAAAGGCTCCAAATCAATTGTTAGGGATCGCAAAGTGCCGTCTATTTTTTAGGAATCTTGCAACAACTTGCAAGTATAAACACAGCTCGGGATGCTACAATAATCAGGACCGACTCGCCTATTTAGCCACCCTCATGGGTTGCGGTGGAGCAATCGCGCTGTTCGCACTGGTCACATTCGTTTACGGAGCCATCGGTTTGTTTTGATTTGATATTAGCCTTGATAATCGTTTTTGATGATAATATGCCCAGAATATTGTATGTAGTTCTTTCTCTACCCACTTCGTCACAGTCACCATTTTTTGAACTCCCCTATAAAATCGAGCCGACACATGAAGCTCTCGTTGAAAGGAAAAAATGAAAATTATCACGCATCCGGAACTCGAAAAAGACAACCAGGAAGAAGTAGGAGATTTGCAGAGAAAATGTTTTGCATTTTATGAATGCAATACAAATAATTTCGAGAATACAATAAAGTTTTTTGAAATTGGCATAACGCACGACTCTGTACCGATTTGTTTCATTAGCACGTTCAGAAGTTGGGCGACGCGGCGCGATTAGGCGAATGGGCGATTAGTCCATAAGAAAAAGGATTCCTATCCCAGGTGATCCCAGTGGTCAAGCGAGCAGGCGATAGGCAATTAGGCGATCGCTCAGTGGGCGGAGCAACCAATCGGTACGCATCCTTTTTTATCGCCTACCGGAGTACTCACCTACTCGCCTAAAGGCCTAATCACCCAATCGATACGTATGCTTTCTTCTTCGATTGTCGTCTAGTTTTTCCAAGAAAGTGATAACTTATTGTTAGCGCAGTTTTCATGTTTGTGGTTTCAGGCTTGCGTCTAATGAAGAAGCGTCTTGCTGAAGAATACAAGAAAGAGGCCGCTCAACGTACTTACGAGAATCAAGCTTTCCAGTATTAACCACTCCTGCTGCGCACTTCCTCTACTGCCATGAACATAGAGTTTCTTGTTATTCAGCGTTACTCAAGAACTCGTCTGCTGCTATGAGAGATCTTGTTTTTCTGATGAATTTATTTGAATACAGTTTTCACTTTCCATCTGTAGGCGTTGTGAACAAAAAGAATACGTGGGTTTTTGATAAAAATATGGGCGCTTTGACCCAAAGGCAGTGATTATGATATGTTCTGGAGAGGTTTAGAAGGGGGAGAGGGGGTGCTCAATGGTAGCCCATGGAAAAAAGGAGACAAATTCGACAAGAAAACGGGAAAACTTGTGTGGAAGGTCACTTTTCCTTCACGGGCGGACAGCGGCTAGGAAGGCGGACGTATGGACGAGTTCTCCAACGCGTTTGGTGGCACCATGCCAATCCATGCTCCAGTCGAGTTGCTCCAGTTGTGCCGCTGCTGGCAACACAGCTCGTCCAAATCACCAACTAAACTAGTGGGCGGATCGCTTTTGGGGCGGAGTGCTTTCGAAGTCCTGCTCAGCAACCAGCACCTTTCGTCGTGAAAGCACCACACCTCGCTTCCTTGGCAGCCAAGACTTCTGGGGCGCATATATGCTTCCCCGATAGCTCCCTTTTTGAAGTGGTCGGTTCCTTTAAGATCCCCTTCCTAGAAGCCGTGATCTTGAAGAATTACGCCAACGAATATAATGTGGAGCACTCGTTGGCGGTAGGAACCAAGTTTCCAGCCAATAGAGAATCATCTCGAGAGAGGTCTTTCAGATCGTGAAGCGCTTTTTCGAAACGGCTTCCTGCATGCTGTAGGGGCTCTTACGTGGAGCTGCAAAACAGCGGTTCATTCTTGGTGAGCGCCCCTTGAAGGCTAAAAGCATCGGAAAATCTGGAGTGGGTACTTCTCGCAAGGCGTGCACGATACGGACCTCTTGAGAAGTCAGTATGTACCAAACCTGAATAAAATATGATACAACCTTCTCTTGCGCTGGCGCTAACACTTCAGGGCTCCCACCTAAAGTGCAGAAAATTTTGGCAATCTCAACCTGAAATCGATCTTGACCTACTCTCTTCACCGTCTTTACTTTTTTACCTTGGGCCCCCTGTTTTTTACCGAGGCAACTCAGCACGATAAATAAGCGTCTCACTTTGGTGTCCACCGCACGAGTCCTATAGATGGAATTCAGCGGTTCCCAAAAAGGCTTTCACGCTCTGAAAGACCTCCCGTCGTAAGTACCCGAGTCTTCGTTTAGGACCATAACCTTTCCTGTATTCACCTGATAGTACCGAACAGTAAATCGGATTTCTACTGCTATCATCACCATATTTAACCTCTTATCCTTCCCCGACAAATGTGTTTGGCCGTTTTTGTTAAGTTTTATGCTTTTGATTATATGTGCAGCTGATTGCAGCTTATTGTCGGATGTCACCACATGCCACTGCATGGTTATAAAGTGAAATCAAAAAATCCGGCGGACATTGATTTTTGACATGCGCCACGCGTTGACTTCTCATCCAGAAGCGCAGCTTCATTGATTGGTCAAATTTTGCCCACACATAACTACATTATTCACGCTGGCTCTACGATCAATCTCTACCCAGAAGCAGCTATCAATTTTCCACATCATCCTAGTGAAATTCAGGAGGATACAATGAAAACCAATGGCGATCCGAGAAGAACGACTTGTGCATGCCTATGTAGTCATTGCTGCGGCACGCGCCTTACACTGCAGATATAATCATCCCAAAACCCCCCCCCTCCGAACGACCACTCTACACGTTACCTGGATTTGAGGTTCCTTCATAGACATATCTCAAACCATCTCTAACCGAAAGGTTCACGTGCTCTCACTGCACGAGCTGAGGCTTTAACGCCTCACCCCATCCTACCCGCCCCTTCAAGGCCCGAACATCTTCACCAAGGCTTGATTTCAGGTTGGCAACTCAACATAAATTAGTTCATCTAACCCACAGGCGGCTTCCCTCAGCATCTAAATTAATATAGTGGTGCTTCGATGCGTTTCGTGCCCAGGGCAATACTTAAGAGCAGTGGGCAGGTCTCGCCAAGCTGCAGTCGATGATCCCTGGTTGCTTCAAAAGCCTGAGCTCACTGGAGGGGACGAAAGTAGGCCACATACTAAAGCTTTTCTATGCACATGCGCCCAGGCACGCATGTTTGGCTGCCTGTCCAGCAACAACAGAGACAGCTGTTTATTGGGACTGACAAATGGTGTACTTTCTGATGGACAACCGGACGAGGAGGGGTTCGTACGCGGCGTTTCTATACATCGGCAATTCTGTCATTGGTTTTGCAAATATATAGCGCCAGTTCCATTGCCAGCTTGTCCTTAGCAAGCATCAGTCCCTTTTTTCATTCGTAATTCAGTCAATTTACGACGAAGCTGTGCCTAGCTATGTCATTTCGACAACAAGGAACCCAATATTAACCCACATTTCCCTGTAAACATGCCTTCTATAGCAAAAATCAGGAGAATACTCGCGCGAGCCGCGTGTTGAGGAAACTTGGTCAGTACAGTTCCTCTGTGGAGGGGCAATACGATCCTCCTCTCAAATGTTTCTCTTTCCTTCTCAACACTTTGTTCGATTTCTTGACTTCCAGATGACTACTTGCACTAACGGCGCACCTTTCGTGCAATAAATAAATAAATAAACAACTTGCGTTCCTATAGGCTGCCTAACCTCCCTCTAGAACTGCCGTTCTAGGCCGTACCCCTTTTCTTTAGATATCTTTCAGTAGAACCGGAATATCGTACGGTAAAACAAGGGTTTCGTGTATCCCATGTCCAAAATATGGCAACCTTAAGTTAAGTTTTCAAAAGGATTCTTGAAAGCTTCCTGAGTTTATAATCAGAAGATTCTTCTAGTACTTTTGGTTAACATTTTTTTCTCCCACCTCCTTTCGAAATTACTGTCCGTTTCGCTTTTTTCTCGCACAAATGCCAAAACGACGCCAAGTCAAGGGATCTTCGATGCACTTCTTAGCTCAAGAACTGTTTTATTAGTTCTGATGGCAAGAGCTCGAATGAATTCACAATTCCTTTGAAAAAATTATCTGCGATATGCTATTGTAAAGATGGGGACAGTTAGCGGTGAAGAACATATACTGTTTGCAGGCGATCATCCTCCCCCGCGAGCACTTGTACAGGAGTGCTCTAGAGGCCGTTGGTACTCTTCTCTCCGCCTCTCCTAAAAGGAGGAAGAATGTGGCACGAAGAAGCGGAATAGGGGAACAGCGATTGAGTGGAACCGCAAACTTAAGAGTGACATGGAAGCAGACCTAGTCAGGGTAATCGCTGGCTCATCCTTTCGAGCTTATCATATCGATGCCACACTTGTCCTGGGTAGAATAATCATTAAGTGGCTCATGTGAAAGGATCAATCGGATGAACATGGTTCTGAGTGCGTGAAGAATGCGTGGCGCATTCTGACAGTGCTGTTTACCACCGGCACTATTTTCCCTTTACTCTGTACCTCTAGACTATGCGAAAGAACAACGGCACTGTATAACTTGTCAGATCTTAACAGCCCATGGAGGTTGTCGTGGATGTCTCAATTGTAGGTTATTATTCGTTCTTATTGACAGCGTAGTGGGTTGCCGAGGTTGAGATAATAATCAAGGTCGGGAACGGTGAGACCATGAGAAGGTGGTATGTGCACGCGAACCGGCGCATCTGCATATTACCACCGCCTTTTTCGTCCTTCGCATAGTTAACTTCAATTGCTCCCAATGTCTTATCTTTTATGCACTTTTAATTATTCTTCACAAGGTTGTTCGATCATGGATCCCTTTTATCTTGTGGGTTATAGCTTAAGGTCGATAGAGGAGGGGTTAGCGGAGAGAGAAGAGCGCAAGCTGCTCGGCCCGGGCAGTAGAGCCCTCGATGTCACTGCTAGTCCAATTGGGGTTTCTTTGCACCTTTTCACATCCCTTTCTTCTTCTGGACTTCTGAACATCTGGACTCACTAACGCGCACATTGCCCTCTTGACCATGTGGGATAGGGGCGCTCGTGAGAGCGCAGTGAAGAAGGAACAAAATCTAGAACCAGCGCTATCTGACCGTTTCGGTCCATTTCTTTCAAAGTTATTTATAGGTGTAATCTATGAAGTAAATATAAACAATAAGAAAAGCTGTTTGTTGAATGGTAGTGGAGGAAGATGGTTTCCAAAATTTTCTGGTGACTCTAGGAGAGCCTCAAGAAGCTCTTCCAATACTACCCCCTCCCCGCAGCCTCATCATTCTGGCTGTTATTTCTATCGTATTTGATTTGTGATAGCTCCAATCACCTCCCGAGAACGGCCCATTTCCGTCCATTTTTTATCCCCTTCAGAACGACCTTCGAGCGGGGAAAATGGAGAGGGATGGGGATATTTACATCTTCTAATTCCTACGTCGTGCTTCTTTCATGAAACTTTCCCCCAAATCATCAAAACCATCACACAACCCCTTGATACGATACCACTCCCCGCCCTGGTTAGAACTGCTCACCCCTCGACTTCCAAAATTACGACCCTCTTATCTCGCTTTTTCAACCTTCACCAACCCCAGAATCTGCCCCCTCTCCCCTCTAAAAGCTCAAATACAACCCTTCTCGTTGAGAACTGCGCAACGCATGGTGGACCTAGGCTGCAATACGTCCGTTAATTTTTTGGGTTCCTACGGTTATGGGATACATCATGAGGCTATAGAAGCATGCCTGTCAACTCACAAAACAGCAAAGGTAGACCTATTTAATATATAGTTGACCCTTGTAACTCAAGATGAACGGAAAAGGCACTTAAGGCCTGTGACCTCATTTCAACCTTATCACGATCGCAAGCGGATGTGTTGCTGTCTGCGTCTCCTCTAATCTCATATGCTCTCTCGTCATCGTTTCTGTTCCCTCTCCCTAAAGCACACAGGCTAGCATGAGTATGCCTTGTAGACTCGTTTATTTTTCGAAAAGGAAATTCTTCAATCTCAGTGCTTGCATCTTTTTGTGGTCC